TAAAATATTAGTATTTTTTTATTTTATAAAATAATACAAAATAATTTTATTTGTAATTTTGGATAAAATTTTTAATCGTTCTCATTGCGTCACGTGTCATTATCCGAAAAGTTATAAAATAATACAAAATAATTTTATTTGTAATTTCGGATAAGATTTTTAATCATTCTTATTGCGTCACTTGTTATAAAATCCGAAAAAGACAATTATTGGTGATGGATTTCTGATAAGATTTTTAATCGTACTCGTTGTGCCACGTCTCATTATCTAAAAATACAACTATTGGTGATGGATTTCCGATAAGATTATTAACCAATCACGTCACGTCATGTGTCATAATCTGTTTACAATTTTTGAGGATAGATTTCCATCAGATTTTTAACAAATGACGACATACCGCGAGGCATTATCTATAACCTAATCCTTTCTGAATCTTCCATATAATCCACCATCCATCCTCACAAATCTCACACCAATTTTCTCAAGATCTCTATCATTATTCATAGTTTCTGCTTCATTCTTCACCAAAATCTCTATTATTATTCATAGTTTCTGCTTCTTTCTTACAATGTCTTCTTCTTCCTTAAAGATGATGTGGGAAATCGATCAGCAAGAGGAAGAATTGTTTAACTAATCAGAAGGAATATTTAATCTTCAGGTGGCCCAAAATGAGAGGGAAGAGGATGAGGAGCGTAGAAGGAGAGATGACGAAGCAAGAATGGCAAGAGCCTCACATTCCCGTCGAGTCATCCAAGTTGTGGGCCAGATTTACAGGCCCAGCCGTTCCAAAAACCTTGATAGAAGCAAGAACGACGAGGTACGGAACTCTTGGAAGATTATTTTGTCCATAATAGTCCATTCCCTGATACGTACTTTAGACGTCGTTTTAGAATGGAACGAAATTTGTTTAACAAAATCATGATTGCTGTTTGCAACCATGATTCTTACATTGTGCAAAAGAATGATGCTTTTGGTGCTATGGGTCTCATTCCACAGCAAAAAATTATTGCTGCCTTGCGGATGCTTGCATATGGAGTATCTGCAAACCAAGTGGATGAGATAACGAGGATGGGGAAATCAACCATTCTTGAGTCCCTGATGAGGTTTTGCAGAGCAATCGAATCTATCTACACCGCATAGTACCTCCGGAAACCTACTGACATGTACTTGCAAAGGCTTCTGAAGAAGGGCGAGATGCGAGGTTTTCCTGGGATGATTGGAAGCATCGATTGTACGCACTGGATGTGGAAAAATTTTCCAAGTGCATGGCAAGGCGCTTATGGGGACAGAAAAGGAGCAAAAAATATCATTTTGGAGGCGATGACATCTTTTGATACATGGATTTGGCATGCCTTTTTCAGGGTTCCGGGAGCTCAAAATAACCTCAACGTCCTTGCCCAATCCCTAGTGTTCAACAATGTCCTGCAAGGAAAGGCACCAAAAGTCACGTATTGCGTCAACGGACATATGTACGACGGGCCATACTACCTAGCATACGACATTTACCCAATGTGGTTAACGTTTGTTAAAACAGTGCCATGTCCGCGAAATGCAAAGGAAAAACACTTTGCAAGTTGTCAAGAGGGGTGCAGGAAGGATGTGAAGCATTGTTTTGGTATCCTCCAAGCTCACTGGGCGATCGTCAGAGGTGCTGCCAGATTGTTTGATGTAGAGTCGCTTCGATCCATCATAATGACGTGCATCATTCTTCACAATATGATTGTGGAAGATGAGTATGATTATGATGCCGTTGATGAATATGAGCCAGACACGATGAACAATTTAAGAACACGTATATATTGTGCTCATGACGCCACCAAAGAACCCATGCAACATGAGCCATTAGAAATGGATGGACGTTACAATGAATTGATCATTCAACGATATACTACACTTCAAATGCCATATATGCACAATGCTCGACAAATTGATTTGATAGAGTACCAATGGGAATTGAAACAAGCTCAAGATACTTTAGTTCATTTAGTGTGTTTGTTTTTTTTTGTTTTTTGTTTTTTTTTTTGGTGTGTTTATTTAATTTTTTTTGGTGTGTTTCTTTTAGTTCATTTAGTGAGTTTTTTGTTATTTGGTATGTTTATGTAATTTTATTTGGTGTGTTTAAATGTCTTTTGAATAAAGATTCTCTTAGTATAAATAAATTATCAAATTAAATAAAGTACTAAAATCAATAATTGGAAACAACATAAAGTACTCTATTCAATAAATAAGAAATTACAACCCAAAGTGATTGGAAAATTATGGGCTCTGATTACAAAAACTACTCTATTCAGCATCACTTAACCAATTTGTGGTGCTAAGATGATCTTCTCTTGTCGTGTTAGGACCATCTCCTCTTGCTCTTGCTTCTCTTGCACGCCTCATTCGGACCACATCCGCTTTCTCCGACTTCCAAAAATATTTAGAATTTGGAGACTTCCCTTCTAAAGACGTGTTCATAATGTCACGATCTCGTTGAGTCATTCTTTCTTCTTTAACCTGTTCCCTTTCTTGCCTAAGTAGCTCTCATTCTCTCTCATTAGCTTGAAATGCTCTCTCAACAACTGCATCATTTGCCTCCTCTCTAGCCTTATCAGCCTTAAATTTCGCCATTTCCCACGCCAAAGTCAATTCACCTTGGCGAGCAAGTTGTTCCATATACTTTGCATAATCATTCTTCGAAGCACTCCCTTTTCTCTTTGAAGCCTTCTTACCTTCAGGCCTAATTGGATAATGGGTCGATCCCGATGCTTGTTCAGGGGGGGCGTTTCGAGCACTTCTTCTGCTTCATCTTCATGAACATGCGAACCATGATCAGGTGTAGAGTGTAGAGGGGTGCTGTTCATGAAAACTTCTGGACCGACATGCAAAACTTTGAATTTAGGACAATCTTTGACAATTTTCCAACATTCCCACCGGTTGAATGATTTATTTTTGGTTTTGGTTTTGGCACCATACCAAGCTTGTGCTTGAATTTGCTACACAATGCGGGATAATAAATAATTATAATGAAAGTAGGTAACAAATAAATAATACAAACAAATAATTATAATGAAAGTAGGTAACAAATAAATAATACAAACAAATAAATAATATATTGTTACTTGAACCACGTAATTTTCCCCACTTCGAATATTATTATTGGCTTGTGCCAAGATGTCTCTCCACGTACTAAACGATTGGCTAAGTAATTTCAAACGACTGGACATCGATTCTTTGGTTCTTTTCCCACCCATTTTCTCAAGATAATTGGTATGAATAAGACTCCACATTTCTCGCAACTGCATCTCATTACCCGTAAGTGAACTATGAGTAACTTCAACCCAGCTAGTACACAACACAATATCTTCAAGAAGTGTCCAATTTGTACCTGCATCAGTAGTCATTTTGTTAAAAAAAATTGGATTGAAACTTTGAGAGAAAGATAGGAATGTGGTTGAAAGTAGTTGAGAAAATATGAAATTGTGGTGTAAGGTAGATAATAATGAGAAGGTATTTGGATTTTTATTCATTTTTTACAATTTTTTTAAATTTTTTTATTCAACTAATTAATCTCTGCCGTTGGATTTAAAAAAGAATTGAATTCCAACACTCTAGATTATGCCACGTGGCATAACGGTAACATTTCTAAATTTTAAAACTATTTTTTTATTTTTTTATAAAGAAGAATAATATCAACCATTGATCTCAGATCTAACGGTTGATGGTAAATAAGATTTTTTTAATATTTTTTATCGTTGAAAATCGGACGGTCCACATTATATAGCCGTTGAGATCCAACGGACCATGGGAAGCCACGTGGCTTCCCAACGGTAACTTTTTGAAACTGTGACGTGGGCCCCAGGCGCTGAAACCGTGTCGGGCGACGTGCCCCCATGCGCAAGTAAGGGGCACGCGCTGATGCCTGGATGACATCAGCCCTGAGTCAAATCTACTTCAGGCTTGCGGGCTGGCGATTCCTCACAGGCCTGATGCTCGGACCTCCATTGTCCATCGGGTTCCCCACGCTAGACCAATAAAGCCGGGCTCTCGGCCCCTTTTTCCTGGCCTATCCCCTGAGCAAACTCCCACGGTGGAGTTACTCTAAGGGCTTATCTCTGGTGGATTTAGATCCCCTTCGGATCCAAATGTGGGAATTCTAGAGATCTTCACATCTTAATCATTCATTGTATATCGTGCAGTCAGAAATCATTTGAATGTTTTTATTTAAAATTAAACACAAATATTACCTGACCAAAACTGGTCACACTATATACGATGAATGAAAACAGTACCTGACGAAAATTGGTCGCACAATATACGATGAACGGCTAGAATATGAGGATCCCTAGAATCCCCACAAAAAGGATCCGAAGAGGATCCTTATCCCATAATAATAACCCGCACGACTAGGCTATAATGAGTGGCCATTGGATCATTTTGTGATAATTGCAAGTGTACTATATATCTTGAGTAATAAAATGATAAGTAGAGTGTCGTTCTAACACGGATCAGATTAATATTTACTATCGTGATTATGTTAACGTTCAAAATTGAGAGGTCCACTTGGGTGTCCACTTGTATTTTGGGTCCAAGTGAAGGTAGAAGTTGAATTACCAATGAAGAAAATTAATCCCTTTCAATCCCTACGAAAATTGTCGAACTGGAAGAGAGAGTTTTTCTTCATGGTCATTTTATAGATCTTCTATCTTCATGATTTTTACACTTTTTTTTTTGGAGTAGTATTCTCTCCCCTCTTTTTTCCCTCCCCTCATATTTGAACGGTCACGGTTAAGCCACATCAAAATCTTATATTAATTTTTTATAATAAGAAAAAGACAAAATAAGAGAATATGAGAGGAGGGGATGGAAGAGGATGGAAAGAGGAGGGGAGAGAATCCTAGTCCTTCTTTTTTACTTCTCACATACTTTTTAGAATGAATATGTGAGAAGCTAAAAAGAGTGTTTCTCATTTCCCAAACTTCCCATAGAATACAAACATATATGTAAGCAGATAAGGCAAAATTCAGATTCATAAATAAATGTAAACTACATTCACTAAACCACTTACGCAATGATCAACTCAAGTTACTATTTTTAACACAATTAAACATAAAATGATCAAGCTCTGTTATAAACTGCAGACAGCTAGAGCATGTATCTGGTCTTTCCAAACAAACCTCTATTACTATAAATCACAAGAAAAACAGAAGAAAAGTAAAGAAGAAGAAAGAAGATCATTTTAAATAAATAAAAAATAAAGAATACTACTCTCTAATTTACACAAATGAATTTTGAGCAATCACTGCAGATCAGAACCTGCTGCGAATGCTTGAACCATCATCTGCATGAGCCTGACTCTAGTTTGCAAGGATAAAATGTAATCAGCTGTGTCTCTGAAAAGTCCATCCAACCCCATCGAATCATCACCGTTTGGAATCAGTCTCTTCAAAGTTTTCACCCTTCTTTTGATTCCAATATTATTGCTGCGCCTTCCTGCACTTTGTAGGCGTGTCCCCGTCTTCTTCTTCTTCTTCAAGATCCTTCTTCTTGGCGAACTCTTGTTCCTCACAACCACTCCACCACTTTCCCTTATGATATTCCACAATGCCCCATTTGTGTAGGACTTTCCCTCGTTTTCTAGGACCGTGCCCTTTAAACCAAGGGAAACAAGGACAGGCTGTTGAGAACCCATGATCCTGCGATGGCTTAATGCACAGTTTAAAATTTCCAAGTGCTAAGTTTGGTTGTGAAAACTGAAATGAAAAGACTAGGATGACAGAATGGCACAATGGGTGGGGGGTTTTATAGGGTATAAACTGGAAAAGGGATTGAACGCCATTAAGGATAATACATTATAATTTGTGCAAATTAACTAATGAAAGAATGAAGGGGTAGGGACCACAAGGGACAATTTCACAGAAGGACTCCAAGGGAATAGGGGGATAAATGAATTGGATGGTGTCAAGTGGAGCTATTGGTGGTGTTTGCTAGCTTGTTGCTTTGGGCATGTTCTCTAACTTATGCACATGCAACCACATGATTCTTGTAATTTCACCACCTAAGCGCCCTCCCTCAAACCACCACCTTTCATCACGTCTATCCCATGGAAAACACCCTGGATTATTCCTCTCCCACCTTTCCAAATTCAATGCCGTTCGATAATCATATATGTGAACTGCTATTGGGGTCCTTAATTTCCTCATGATTCCAGCTCAATCAAACATGGCAATTCATATTTTTATATAATTTTCTAGTTCTAGGGTTTCATGGTGGTTAGGCCGGCCTTGTTTCCAGGCAGGAAACCTATATTAAATAAAAGTAAAAGGAATTGGAGAAGCTGCAAAAATACCATTTGGGTTGAGAATTGGGTGGACAAATTAGATCTTGATGTTGGGATAAGGTAGATTTGGTTCTGACATTCATGAACCCTAGTTTCCATCAAAGTGATGATTGATGTCTCTCAAGTCTTAGAAAAATAATTATTCTTGGTTCCTAAGCCATGTTTTGTAACATGCATGTCTATGTATATCATAGTACCCCCACGAAACGTTAAACTTGGACAATCTCAGAGACAAAGATGCATGCATATTCTGTCACTCATATACTTTCGGTGGAGATATATACCATACCAGATTCAAGCTTGAGATTGGATATATATAGGCGGAGCCCTTATTAGTGAATTATTTCTTGTTTAATTCTCAGCAAAAATTATTAGCAGTATAAATTATATAATGATTTTTCAAAAATAAAAATAAGGGGAGGAGCAATGTTTCAGCTGCATGCATGCATGCATGCGCAATATTAGTTCGCTTTGCAAATTACCATAAATAAAATCAAAACCGAACCTTCTAAAATATTGTGAGAATTCTAATCAAATTTTCATCTTTTTGGTGATAATCTGATGTTTATGTCTACAATGATGCTGTTTCAAACTTCAATATATTAATTTCTTTTTCCAATAAATCCTAAATGCTGCTAAACCCTAAACTCAAAACGTTTATCGCTAGACCTCAAATTAAACTTAACCCTTACATACCAAACAACGTCGTTTCAGCTCGGGATTGATTCTTTTGGAGCTAGCGGTCGAACTACTTCAATTAATGTCTCCTGGTGGTTCAATTAATCTAGCTACAAGCTAGCTATAGCTTAGCTTTGGGATTAAGCATAAGCCAAAGAACATGATGCACATGCTTATGCGGTTGAGAGATTTTTCAGTGTGATCGGTACTAGAATGGTACATCACGTGTTACTATATAAATGATGAGATATGTATGCTAAAAAGTTAATAACTTAAAAAATAAAATTTCCCATCACTTCTAATAAAACACGTGGTAAACCATTTGTATTCCCGTCACAACTAAAATTTCTTGTATGCGGTTACCATATATCTGTCCAGCATTATCCAAGTCCATAGATCGAACGGTTCTAAAATATGCAACGCGGAAAAACCTAGAACAGAACTCTACCTAGCTAGCTGCTAGCTAGTATATGCCTTCGCCATACGTGGCCAGGGCTACTTAATTATAGTGAAATTATATGTACACATCCCAAATTACTTCTTTCACACTCTTTTAATTTTTTAATATTTTCTACACATCACTAACACTTGATAGAAAAATATTAAAAAATTAAAAGGATGTGGGAGAAGTAATTTGGGATGTGTGAATATAATCTCTCTAATTATAATGATTGTGCTAATTATTAAATATATATGGATCGACCAATGGATAAGAAATTAGTGTGTCATGATATTCTTGTCATCCTTTGGTTGGTGTTTACATACCATTTTTAATGTATACTAATTGGAAAATATAAACTCGGTTTAACAAAACAAATAAACTAATTTGTGACGGCTATGCACATGGATCATCCTAACCCTAAGCATTATTGATTCATCAATATTCTTAATTTTGGAAGGCCATGTAAATATGAACTAGTAAAAACATTTCTTCTAGCAAAGCTGCTATTTGGACTTCATTTGTTGAGTGTGTTCGTGATAGAGTGCTCAAACGTCTTAATACGGCAAACCACTCGTTTGAGCTTGTTCAACAAAATATTTTTTCTAATCCGAACCATCCATTTTTTAAGTACCTCTTCAAATATCATACTTGCAAAAATTCACTGAATCAGAAATATGTTTAGGCTTTGATTATTAATGTGTCTATTTATTGTTTTTATCAACAATTATTGCACAATTAGATAACTAAACAACTTCTTGTTTATGCTAATATTTACAAGAATGATCTTTCAATAATAACTTAAAAGACAACCAGTTTAGATTATGAGAAATACTGTGAAATAAACCAATACACAACAAAATTAGGTACGAACTTGTTCACATATCTCTATCGTAACAATATTGTTAGATGAATTTTGCACGAATAGAAATATAATTTTGTAGAAATTTTAATTTCAGTGAACATGGAAGCTTGACACTTAATTGAAACAGATAAAATAATAACCTACACTTTAGCACAATCGTGTCCAACTTGATGGGCAGCTACACCTCTCCCCTAAAACCATCATCCAGACATATGCAGACACTTAATTATGTTCTTAATTATTATTTTTTCCCTCTAATGAGTTGTTAGCTTTGTGACCATATATATAAGTCTCATCTTAATTATGATTACCCATGCAATACAATATTTCCCTTTGTAATCAAGGAGTAAGCAAGCAATCAAATGTTCTCCATGTGCTTAGTATTAATTGTGGCTTTTTGGCCTTAATTCTTCTCTTTTTCTCCTTTTTCCTTGAAATTTTGGGGTTATGTTGCATTGTCATGCTTATGCAGGGTAGTTTAGGAACAAAATTAAGGTGCAGGTGTGGTCTGGTGGCCACCTGCGTTGCACAAGGAAAGCTTGCTCTACCTATCGACATTCCACATGTTCATGTGCATGGCGGCGTGCTCACATGAGAAAACATGTTTTTTTCTTTCAATAATGAAACATCATTATTTCTCCTTTGGTATTTATGTTTTTCCTCTTTAGTTTCATTAGCATTCCTAATGAATCGTGCATCTTCATTTTCCTTCAAAATCTAAAACTTATATGCTCTCTCCGCTCTACTAATAAGTTAATTTGTTTTCAATTGTAGATAATTGGTAATACTATCCTAAGAGTGGCGATTTCTGCACTCCGGCCATCTCTCCCACATGAGTCCCCTACTCCCCTCTCTCTATCCTTTATGTTTAACTTTAACTTAAACATTTTATAAACTAAAAAGTAATAGTCTATATATAGCCTTGTATAACTGGTGACGAATAACATATAACTCTTGCTATACATAAAGCATAGCCCAAACTATCTTTAGCCCTCCATGATTATGCCATGCTAATAAAATAATAATTTATGAGAGTGCCATGCTAATAAAATAATAATTTATATATTGGACGTTTGTATAATCACGCCGAGCCCTAACAAATCTATGCACATTTATCACCCCAAGCAATGTTATGACACCAACGTTGTAATTAAATCACGTCAAATATGCTACACTCTAAAGCGAGCCCAAGCCACATATCGGATCTTGCCAAGGGGATCATGGTGTGTATGGTTACAAAGTTTATTGGACCTATGTGAAACTAAGGTTATGGAAGACTGTGGGCTGCTTGGGAGGACCAAAAGTCCAAGTACATAGCTTTTGGTTTCACGTTGGTAAGTCTAAGACAGAACAAAGCCAAGTTTCCTTTTCCCTTGCAAACCAACTAGGATACTTAGGAAGAAATAAAAACCCAAAGTTGAATTGCCTACAAGATCACGTTCAGCATAGCGCAGCGCACTACATTAATGAGGAGAGGAGAGATCTTTCCCTTTCAAGTTTACATAGGAAAATGAGGAAGGAAAACAAGGAAGGACGTTCTGGGAACTAACCATGAAAGAGGGTGTTCTGGGCAGTGTCTGCATCCCATTCTTCATGAGGCTAGCAACGTTTTTCAATGTTACACCAAAAGGGAAAGTCATAGCTACGCAAAGGAAATAAAGAACAAAGACTTAGCAAAAATAGAAAGAAGAGAGGAAATCAAAGGAGTCCTTAAGGAAAGCTGGAAAAGAGCCATACGCCTATTAAATTAGAAAGAAGTTAGCATAATAGAAAGGGGGACAACGTGGGAGAAACAACAGAGAGAATGTAGATGATCAAGGCAAGATTGCAGTAGGAAGAGCAAGCTTTCTTTAAGTGCAGGAAACCTTGATTCTTGAAATGAGAATTCTCCTAACCTTCTTGGGATTTCTTCAAGTTTCCCTTAGCCGCTATAAGTATCCTAGCACATTAAGAACCCTAGATTAGCATTCCCAAAACCATCCAAGCATGAGTTGAGTGCTCTCTCACACTAAACTGATAAACTTTTTAGCTTTCACACCATGCTTTACTCAGGCAAGTCTTAACTTATTGCAATTATTCTATCTTTGAATCATTAATTCAATTAAGGTACTTCCTAAGCCATGCCAATTCTTTCGAGGTATCAATGAACCAGGGGAGTTGAGAGTTTCCACCAAAGCCCAAATCCAACTCGATCAAAAGGTCCCCCAACATTGGGACGATCCATATCACCACTTTTCTTACGCAAGTTTTTTACACACATTTTTGTGGAGCCTACTCCGTAATGTATTTCAACGATTTGAACCATTTATCTTTTAGGTCCTTCCACAAAGATCACGTCTCCCATAAATCACCAAATATAAACCCATATGACCATTGGAGTAAGAGTTCAAGGTTTTATTGTAGAATCGTATTTGTCCTTTTTCTTAAACCACGCCAATTCTTTCGAGGTATCGATAAACCAGGGGAGCTGAGAGTTTCCACCAAAGCCCAAATCCAACTCGACCAA